AACATTCATGTCCTAACAACTTGTAGCTGTTTGAAAAAATAATACATATACAGTAATTCAAAGAAAAAAATATCTTTGGCTTCTTACATAACCATGATTGCTTCTGGAGGGGCTGTGCGTGTCTTTTGGGCACTGCACGACTTCTCAACCCTTGCGAGCAGATGGGCGGCTGCGGCCACTCTCGTTTCTTATCCGTCTTGATTTTCCCGTGGCACTTGCCTTTTAACACGGCAGCTGCTCCACAAAGATATGAAGCTATGAAAAGAATGTAGTGAGATCTGATGTTGAAACTGAACTCTCAGACTCAAAGCTTGCACGGTGTCTGACCAGATGTTGCGTGCAGCTGTTCCCTGAAAACCTAACATCTCCTGCAGCGTCCTATGACCGCACTACAGCACTGCAGGGTAGAGTTTGGGAACCACGGGATTAGGCTCCTTGATTCCAGTGTTCCATCATTCTCTCATTTTATTAATCAGTTATATGTTGGATCTTTCAGTTTCTCATTTAGAAGTGTCTGAAAATCTCTCATTACAATTGAGGATTTGTAAATTTTTTCTTATAATTTATGCCAGTTTTTGCTTTATGGTTTAGAGATTTTATAATTCTGTATATCATGTTGTTATGTCTCCCTGATGGGTTTTTCCTCTTATCCTTAGATAGTGTCCCTTTATTAATCATTTTTTGCCCAAATTCTATTTTTCTGATATTGATATTGTGACACACATTCTTTTGATTAGTATTTGTCTGATACATCTTTTCACTGATTTATTTTTAATCATTCTGTGCTGCTTTTTTTAAGGTGTGCCTCTTGCAAGTAATATATAGGGGATTTGAACAACAACACAAAGTGATAGTTTCTGGTTTTCAGTAGGTGGATTTAGCCCATTTATTCTATCTGGGTTTTGTCTGCCTTCTTGTTTTGGTACCACACCCCATCCTGCATCCACGGAGATGGGACACCCGTGACCTGTGCTCATGGGGACCCACTGGACCCCAGAGACAGGCAATGAGAAGGACAAAGTGGGACAGTGACTTCCTCCAGCAACCTGGATGTCAGTGGTCTTCTTCTGCTTAATGGTTGGGGCGCAAGGAATCACTCTCTCTCAACAGGATTCTTTCAACTATTCAATTAGGAAAACAGTTGCCTGGAGTCAGACATGCTTGCCAAAGGGGAGGCTCAGTATAGTGAAAACAACACTGGATAAGGAACTGGAAAGCGTGTGTCCTTCTGTCAAGTGGCAGTGAAGCCACGTCCCCTTGCCTCCTGGTAGGCAGGCCGTGAGGCTCCAGGGCTTGGGTGCACGAGAAAGGCCTCCTGCTCCGTCCAGAGCTTTGCCGGGCGGTGGCTCCCTGGGCGCCAAGGCTGACAGGCAGCACATGGACCTCCCAGCCCTTGGTTTCCCTCCTGATCACCACTGTCCCTGATAGAGTCTACAGCAGAACGTGCAAGGGGCCAGGAAGCGGGCGGCGTAGGTCCGTTCACTGTGCCGTGCTGGAACAACTGGGAATGAGCTGAGCAGGGGAGGGAGGAAGTGGAAGGTGTTTATAAGAACCGCTTGGGTTTGCCTGGCGTTTGCTCCCTTTACGGTTTCACTCAGCACGCCTACGCGGAGCGCCCAGAGTCAGCTGTCACGCACGGGCCTGACCGGAGGTCCCACAAGGGGCAGGCGTTAACGGTTTGTGCTTCTAGTGTCAACGCACCACAGTTCCTGGACTGGCAGGAGTTTCTGGAGCCAGGAAAACACGTCAGCTTTGGAGACTCATGTCCTTGGGCAGGATGAGCCTAAAACATGTGCCGAGTTTAGTGCCCACGTAGTCTGTGAAGGATCTAGCAGGTCCCCATGTCTCTCCAATGTCTGCAAAGGGCCTGAGATTCTACCATCATCGTTTCCTCCTTATGGATCCTGAAGGCTTTTTGATTTCTGAGAGGCTTGGTTAAGACATACACATCCTTCGGCCTGGGTCAGCTGCTCGTTCTAGAGGGACTGGGAGGCTGGCTGGTGGGGACGCGGAAGTGGGAGAACCGGCCAGATCAACTTTGCCCACCTCACGTCTGCCGAAGGCTGGTCCTGGTCTAGTGTACGATGTGAGGCGCTCGCTTCCCCCGTGTCAGCACGAAGGGCTCCGGATGCACAGAGGCGGTGGGCGCAGGAGCCAGCTGGGCGCAGCGGGCTCGGCGGGGGCCCCTGAGACGCGCTACGCAGGGCGGGCGCCCAGACGCTGAGTGTGTCCGGGGAGGCGTCTCCCACGGCACACGGCAGCTCTCCTCGGGGACGAGCGGGGTGATGGGCTCGACTGTGGGCCCTTCCCAGAGTCCTCGGACACTGACAGCGGCCTGCGGAGTTCCGGGGAGCTCGTGTGCAGTGGGAGGGCCAAGACCAGCCCGAAGCGGCCCCAGCCTCTCCCGCCGAGCCGGCCGCTGGCCCCACGTGGGCTTCTGGCCATGAGCCCCCTGCCAGATGCCTCCTCCTCCCTCGGCGGCAGAGGGTGCATCTTCCCGGGCGATGGGCCCAGCATCCTTCAGTCTCTTTCATCTCCACCTGGTGTCACTCTGGCCTGAGGAGAGGTTAAGCTGGTTTGGAGAGGCGAGGCCACAATAGTTAGCAGAGGTCCACCGAGCCGGGCAGAAAGCGGGCGAGAGGTCTCGGACGCCCCTGACCTCCAGCCACCGCGGAGAGTCCCACGCGCCCAGCCCCCCTGGCCAGCGGAGAGCGGGAAGCCGAACATCTCTGGGCTTTTACCTGGACTTTAGCTTTCCTTTCATTTTTTTGGTGCCATCTTTTCATTGTTTCTTTAATATAGACTTGTTTCTGTTTTTTCTTTTTTTTCGAACGGTGGAAACATCTTTCTTTCTTGTGTTTTCCTGCTTCGTTCTCAGTCCTCTAATTTCACTCTCCTGTTGTTCTTTTTCTTGACGTGCGGGGCATTCACTTACCGTGTGTTGTGAGAGCCGCCCGTCCACACGCTTGGCACTGGCACGGTCTTTAGACGGGGACCTCGTGTCTAGATCAACCCCCCAATGCGAGCTTCTGCCAAACGATGCTAATTAGAATCCAGATGTGATGAGGTGACATTCCCCTGGACACTCTGGACTGGCGAAGTGAGTCCTAAGCTCTTTCTCTGTCAGACCTCACTGTGTTTTGAAAGGTTTATGGTCTGTGCCCAGTGGAGGAAGGGAGGAAATGGAAAATTCCAGAGTCCACCGAAGTCTTCCCACGGAGGCTGGCCATGGGGCTCGTAGACGGCAAGGCCTCAGCTCTGGCACAGAAACTTCTGCAGCGTGGAAAGGAAGGGATCCTACAGGAATCGTTCCACTGGGAGCACCTGAACAACCAATCAATAACCAAACCGGAAACACTTGTCGAGGGCCTGCTATCTATGCTGGGCGTCAGCGACAGTGTGTGGGTCACGAGGGAAATCTGGGCACCCTCGGCCATGTTCACAGGACGGGGTGACGTAGGAGTGGGCAGACCCAGTGCAGGGAGACGGCCGTGCAGGAGCAGAGCACCCTCCTCACTCAGCACTACAGGTGACGTGCAGATGGCACGGGGCCTCCCCCGCAGAGCCGCACCAGGACCCAGGCCGACGGGGCCACTTCTGTCTTCTGTGTGGCTTCAAAGGTTGCTCTGGAGACCACCTTCCAGACAAGGGTGGAGGCTGGAGGACAAGGGTGGGTGCGGGGCAGGCGTGGGGATTTCCTTGGGCTGGGCCCACGGCAGGGTTATGCAATCCCTATTCAAATCCACCGGCAAGCACTGGGCCCATGGCCACACCCGACGGCAACAGAGGCTAGAAATGAGTTCCAGCTGTGGACTCCAGGGGCCGAAAACATGAATTTTGGCTGGTGGCTGGCAGCGTGCCGTTCCGGTTACAGAATGGGTTGTGTTTCTAAAGTTAAACTACGGATGATTTAAATTCGTTTCTTTATATTTTCCTGTATTTTTCAAAGTTTATTGTTATATGTGTTACTTTTATAATCATGAAAAAAAGCAATAGATCTTATTTTTAAAAATGTAATCCTGGTCTTTGGAACTTAGAACATTACTTGTTTCTACAGAAATAGTTAAAGTTGCCGTTTGGATCCCCAGGCAGGGTTAGAAAATCCTATACAAGCCACAGAGTAGTTAAATTATGCTAATCTAATTAAGTATTAAGTCCGCCACGTTTGTCTAAGGGATGTCCGTCTGCCTTTGAAGCCAGCCTGAACTCTGTGCCCCAGGTGCGGGGCCAGGAGGCAGGGGTGAGGACCAAGTGACAGGGGGCGGAGGGGGGTTGCCCGTCTCCAGAGCTGGCTGAGGTCACTGCATGCAGAGGGATGTCCTGCTGCTCCCACTCTGCTGCTGCCCTCCCTCCTGGCACCCAGGCCCCTCTCAGTGGCTGCACCCAGCGCACCCATGTTCTGAAGTGGGCCGGGCTCCGGGTTCCTCTTTATTCTCTGCGAACAAAGGGCCTCAGCTCTCACTGACCTCCTCCAGGGCTTGTGGGGAAATCTGTTTGAATTAATCGAGAGAGGGGAGAGAGAGAGAGAGAGAAAGAAAGAGAGAGAGAGAGGGGACACCACTTAGACTTCTCAGAGTACCTGCAATTTTCAAAAAGAACAATCATGAAGCCAAATGCCTCTGTCATTGGCAGAAGTTTAGGCAGAGCCACCCAGTCACGGTTCCCAGACAGCATCGGGGCAGAGGCCCCGTCCCGGGCTCCTGTGGAAGTCTCTCCCCTGGACCAACTTCTCAAGGCGCTTTCTGCCTTTTCTCGCTTCTTGCTGCCTCCTTTCCTTAAAGGCCCGGGTTTGTCACAGCAGCCCCATGACCCCACGGCAGAGACAACCCTGCTCTTCAAGTGTCCTGTGGCGCCCGCACTCCCAGCCTCTTTTCCAGTGACGCTGGGGCCCTGTGACGAGTAGGGGCAGGGGTGGGGAGAGGGCTGGGGAGGAGGAGTGCTGGGCTGGCCCTGGGGGGGCGGCTGGCAGTGGGCACACTGCTGCCAGGGACCACCCGGGGATGGCCGAGCTGCTGGGGGAGGAACTGCCAGGAGACCATTCTGATCCCGCCGGGTGTGACGTGAGTGAGGAAAGCCCCTGCTGGGTTGTGCCACTGAGACTCTGGGACTGACGTGTCACTAACACGGGCCCATGGGCAGTTGGGGGGCTGGGAGGGCTCCCCTGGGAGAGGAGGGATGGAGAAGGCAGGGCTGTGTGGGCCTGAAGCAGCAATCACCGTACAAGACACTCTCCTTGCTTGGTCTGGGGCAGGCTGGTGATGCCACTTGTGACGGAGCCGTGGAGGATGACATCGCCATCATCATCATCATCATCGGTTCGTGAGCGGAGCAGTACCGTGGACGGACTGGTCTGGCTGTGGAGCGAGGGAGGCCTGCAGAGAAAGGAGCTCCCGCTCAGGGACCGGCAGCGGAACGTCCCTGACCTCAAGCACTGGCTTCAGCTTGGAGATATGGGGACTGTCAGCCTCGTGAGGGGTCGTGATCAAGAGCGTGCCCAGACACGGAACACAAGATACACCGCGAGAGACCGACACAGGCTGGGAGCCCAGGGAGGCAGGAAGCCTTCACGGAAGAGCAGGGAAAGAGACGCCTCTAGAAGAAGCTACACCAAGAACAGCGGGAGAAGAGAAGCGGGACTTCTGGGCGGGAGAGGGACAGGCACAAAGGAGCTGGAAAATCCTGCCGGGCCAGTCTGACCGGAGGTGCTGCTTGGGGAAAGGCAGCTGCCCGGAGGGGAGGCGAGACCCCCGAAACAGGTGGAGAGCACACGGGGGGCCTCGCAGCCCACTGAACACCTTTACGCTTCATCTTGAAAGACTGCTGTTCCCCGGAATCAGGGGGACCTGGCCAGGGACTGGCCACGTAGGCTGCGGTGCCGGCATCCCCCGCCCACCATGCAGCGGTCGCAGAGACAGAGCGGGACCTGCGCTCACTGCCACGGACGCTCTGCAAGACTCGTTGAGTGAAAACATCCGGATGCACCCGCAGTGCTCCGTGTTCCTCGCTGTCCTCTGGACAAGCACGCACAGGTGTCTGTGGCTGCGTCCCAGTGCCAGAAGGACAGGCAAACCGATGACATGGTTACATCCGGGCAAAGGCCTGGGGTTGACCACCGTTCTGCCTGCTCTGAAGGGTCAGCGCCCTGTCTGTGGAAAGTTCTGCAGGAAACGGAGCCCCACCAGGCCCCCTCCTGGTCACCTGAGCCTGCTGCCCTCCCCAGGCCCAGCTCGCACTGGATTCAACCGTGGCCACCACCTGAGTGGACCAGTTTGGACTCGCTCTCCCTCCTG